TGTCTCTTGATCAGGGAATTCACCCAGATAACCAGAACGAATTGGCAGAATGTATCGCAACATAGCAAAGATGAACTATTGAATGAACGTTACAACAGCGCGAATGCGACTGCAAATCGTCGCACTCATCATCGTACCGAAGCCACGATATTGTATCAGAAAGCTCAGAGCAGAGTGAGGAGTCCGACTGAGATCCTGCTGACTCTCGTGCGCATGTGCATCAAACTACGTCACAGTTGGGCCGTGAACACTGGCGGATTCATATCCCACAAATGTTGGGTACCGTTAGGACCCTTGTGAGAAAGAAGTGCAAAGACCATAAATATATTCATATATCGCGCCTACAGCCGGCTTACAACATGAATACCAACATTTGTTGTGAAAGGAAACTGCAAAAAACCTTATATAAATTCAATTTATATAAGTAATGTTAATATATTAACACTGATTTCTCCTACGATTACGACTTAGAAATTAGATGATACAAGGATATGTGTGTGCAAGAAAATATATAGAGAGAATGTCCTTTGTCGTAAGATGTCACTTATTAATACTTTTTTCGGACCGATTCGAGATAAAAATGTTTGTAATATCTGTAATATTTTTTATATAATAATCAATATAGAAAGAATAAAGATGTAAAAATTTTACTTGGTTCCCCGAAAGCGCCGGGCATTGCACCGAAACACGAGTCTGTCATGGCTCGTGGACGTAACTATGACGTAGTTCGACGCATGCGCACGAGAGTCAGCAGGACATCGGACTTCCCACATTGGCTGGAAGCATTTTTGAAAATTGGTCTATTCTTTTCAGCTGCATTGTTGAACTGGTGCAACATAAATGTCAAAACCAAATATACTTGTCTCACTCTAATTTGATGCACCAATTCAACAGTGCAGCTAAAAAGAACGGATCAATTGCTATCGAGAAATGATCGCGTTCATATTTACGAGAAATGGATCGCTTGGCGACGATGCGAGATATCAAAGGTGAATACCGGAAATGATAATATTCACAGAAAAAGGCTCGACTACCGGCATAATTTATACACAATCGGTGAGGAAACTTGTAAAAAGCAGACTCTGCACTCGAAATAGCAAAGGTCGCGAGATTAAATTTGATATTTTTCGATCTCCATTAAAATATAATTATTAAATTGTTATTATTCCGACGTTATACGACATATAAAGATACATATAAATTCACAAAAAAAAGTATATTATATACGTAATATGCATTATACGAAATATAACATGTTGTATTGTTAAGTATGTAATTTTGCCATCACGCCTGATCGATCTTTGTTACAAGAATATATATAAAGAGCAATAACTTTTCGGTAATGTCAAATGTACGTAGAAGTCGTTGATGTACAGCATATTCGATTTGCCGACTCGGTCCGACTCGGGCAACGTTCTGATAATCTGTCGATTCTGAGATCCGTAGTACACCGTAACATAAACTGTATATCAATTTCAATACCGGTGGCGATTAATAAATCGTTGGATCAAGATGAATCAGAAAACTGAACGCGCTAACGGTCTGCCCTGGTCTTGGTACAAGACCGATGTGATAGTTTTGTACCGAAATTCGTATGAAACTACCACAACAACGGTGATTCACAGTCGCGTTGTTTCGACATCCGCCGCACAATCGCTCTCGCAATGATTGCAATATCTCGCGCTGTTCTCACAAGTCGTTGTCCCGTTGCACTTTCGGCGGGTGTCACCGATCAGGAGACGCGAAGGTGCCGACTTGCCTGGATGTGCCTGGACGATTACAATGTCAGTCGCTACGAGGACATGTTCCTGAACGTGCTAACTCAGACTTCGCGACTTCGTATTTCTTCTTTGACTACTCATAACTTGGACTTAGCGACGATTTAGGAGGGCCTTCAAGAACCTGGTAACGGACAATTAGTACACAGACAAAGGATATTCCTTCTCGAATCGCACTCACAGGCTGGTTTTGGATGACGCTCAGTTGCAACGGAACCGTCGAAATGCAGCCGAGCGCCTTCGCCTGGTTTAACTAAATTGGAAATCCCCAGGTTGGACCACGATACGAGGGTACAATAAACAATAAATGTACATACACTTCGTATTGCGTAAACAATAGATTTCAGAATCGACAGGTGATCTGAACACCGGCCGAGTCGGCCAATCGAATATGTTGTACGTCAATCGACATCTACGTACACTTGACATTGCTGAGAAGTTATCGGGCCTTTATATTCTCGTAAGAAGGATCGGTTAGCGGCGTGATGACAAAATTCAAGGCAGGAAATGACGAAGGAATCCCGTTGAGCGTAATGATGGTGACGTCAGCGATGAATCTCTCGTGTTATCGAGACGGGTTTCTCGCGATATATATCCGTCTACAACAATGAAACTTTCGGCACGTCTGCCCCGACGAATACCGAGACGCTCGAGTTGGCGCGTTAATTAAAGCGAACGTCGCGTCGAGCGATTGAACGCATATTAAACCCTCTCGCGTAATCGCGAATCTCTCTACTTTACCAAATCGTTCGCATTACGGATGGCAGGTTGTTCGCTACTGATTATCTGTAACGAGCGGTAGAAAGTACGTGATAGTCCAGTGAGCACTCGGGACGGGCGAGGCGAGACGACGACGACTCGGGGCGAGGTGAGGCGAGACGAGGCGAGACGATCGCGGAAAGTGGAGTGAAACGGTAGAAAAATACGCGAGTACATAAGGACGCTTCCCGGGACGGATAATCCCGGGGCAATTAACGGTTTTTCTCCGAAACAACCTTGCGCCTCTGATCACGCTTGCCGCGCTTTCATATTTACACGGTTTGCGGGGAAAAGCGCCGGGGTCCCGGTTCCCGGTCGATTTTCCGTCGGAAGACAGACGTTGGAAAATAAAATAAATCCCGGGAGTCCTCGTAACGGTTTGACTCCGTCCAAGAACCACGGTCGATTTCGCGAGGATTTCCCCGGCACTTCCGGCGGGAGGGACGGACGGATGATCGAGTCGCGGAATCGGTGTCGCGGGTGAGCCGGAAGAGCGACTCGCCGGCGACTTCGCGGAAGACCGCGGGAATACCTAAGCGAATACCTGCGCGCAAAGAGACGAGAGCGATTTTCAAGGCTACATGTATCTTCCACGCCGCGGTCGAGAAACTTTCTAAGGTATTGGTGAAAACATCAGAAGAGCGATTCGCCTCTCGCTCTCGCGAGGTCATCGAACGACGTACATCCCACTCACTCGGTTTCTCGATCCCCGAGTCGTTCCGCGGTCGGCGGTTAGTGACAAACCGAGGTTACTACATACGGTGTACCCGCTAATGACGGACCAGGAGGATTTCAGTTATCGGACAGCGACGAGGCGACGTCGGCCGCGTCGCCGACGCCAAGCGGGGATCTCGTATCCGCGTCTTTCTTTTTCTTCCCCGAGAATCAACCTCGGACGAAACTCTGCGGTTTATCGGTAAAACGACGATGAGGAATCACGCTCGATTCAACCGGCGAAAGAAAGAGCTCGGATGTGGATGGGGATCTGAACGTAAGACCGACTATTCGCTCGAAGAAGAAGGAAAATCAAAAGAAGGGGGAGGGTGGAGGGGAGACCAGAGGAGAGGCCTACAATTACGGCAGATATCGAGTCTCCAATTTTCGCATCGCGAACGCGGTGAGAAAGAGAGAGAGAGAGAGAGAGCTCACCCGCATCGAACGATGATACGGTTTACGACGGAGAATTCCCCGACTGGTTTCGAGGGAACACATTTGTGTGCTTATCGTATCGGTACACCATATAATGTCACCCAGCTCTCCCCGACGTGTCCATACGCCGGTGAATGTCACCTATAATGGCTACATTACCGCGGTAGTGAATATGCGCGCGCGCGCGAATAATTGGCATTTGTCTAGCTGTATTGTTAATCGACTTTTGATACGCGGCAAAAATCACCCGGAGCGAGATAATAGAATGTCGACATTGGGAGGAAGGGAGAGGGGATGAACGGGTGGGTGGNTGGTGGAAAATTTCTCTCGATAAAAAGCGCCGGTGTTTTTCGTGAAATGCGTTTGCCCGCGAGCAAATGCAAAATCTCCTCTTCGTAATAAGCCCCCGGCTCTCTCTCTCTCTCTCTCTCTGAGTCGCCCGTAATCGGACGTGGATCGGCCGAGTTTGACGGACGCGCGTAGATTGCCTCGCTCGATTTCTCCCTGAATACCGACGCAGGAATACTCGTCCGCAATTAGCGGGATGAACCTTTCCCACTGGACCGAGCTGTGCACGAACGTACAGTCCTAGCGGACTGATCTATATGTAATTGACGTTGCGATCTTGACATTAGGCGTGGCAAGAAAGTTAACGCTCGCAGTACCGTTCTTATGAAACCGATGGAGGTCGGTCGTGCCTGCGCGCTCCTCCATGTAACCTTTTACATTTTGCGCAAGCGATATTTCTGTGCGAATACAAATGTGCAGTGTATAGTACGGCGCGGATGCTTTCCCGTAGACTGAACCGAAAAGCTGAAAAAATCAGGCGAGGAAAGACGGAGAGAAAGAGAGAGAGAGAGAGAAAGCGAGCGAGCGAGAGAGAACGAGATAGAGAGAAGGGGAGAAGGAGAGGGAGAGCGAGGAAGAGAGAATGTCCAGGAACGAGGGAGAGAGACAGAGAGAGAGAGAGAGAGGGGGAGAGAGAGGGACAGACAGAGAGAAGGCGAAAGAACGCGATACACGCTAGATAGTTTCACCTGTATATAGCGCGAGCACGAATCCGACGAGCGGAGAATGCATGAACCTTCACCGTTAAAGTCGTCGTGCGCGATATCTGCCGTGTTATAAACGCATCACCACCATGCGATAAGAAAATTCCGATGTGGAACGAGGCGGGAGGGCCGACGGGGCCGAGCGAGGTCGTATTGATCGCGAATAGATCCAACGCGGCGAGCGAATTCGGCGGCCGCGGGGCTCCATAGAAGCAACCACGTAGCGAATCTCGAAGAAGGAACTCGAGTCGTCTGCACTCACCGGAATTGTGTCCGGTGACGTTGCCGGTTGCCGAATGCACCGCGTTGGTAGCGGCGTTCGCCACCTGCTTCAAGGCGCTTATCACCAGCATGTTCCCGTTCGAGTCGGTCGGTAGAGCGATCGACGTCGTCACCGTCGGCGCACAGTCACGAAACAAGAGCCCCGATTCGCGGGGACGGCCGCGGGAGGACGAGACGGAGAGCACGAGACGCGGACTGGACGAGGTGAGCGACTCCGAGGTGAAAAGCGAAAGAAGAAGGCGGAGGAGGCAGAGAGCTCGATTCGGGTTCCTCGGCCGTCTAAGCGCGACTGGTCGCGCGAGCAACGCGAAAGGTAGCCGTCGCCGCCGCCACCGCCGCCGTCGTCTCGCTCGGTCCCCTTCTTCGGAGTTTCACCTTCACGGAAGTCTTAGCGTGGCGATTAAAGTCGGCGACCGTATGAAGACGACTTCGACACGCACGGTGACGCGCGCGCGCGCGCACGTCGCGTCACGCGGCGTACGCACGCACACACGGCTGTTCCTGCTCGCGCTAGTCCGGAAACTAACGTCCTGCTGGCCGGTTGGTCTCGGGAGCTAATTAAAGTAAGGTGTAATAACGCGCCTCGCGCGCCGTTAAAACGAGGCTAACAAACGAGCGTGTTTTATCGCCGCGGTCTCGCCGCTGGAGTTTCATTAACGGCCGAATTATTAAATCGACGCCGGCCGTCCCTCGCGAGCTTTTGTTGAGCTTGCCGAGTTCGGAGAGACCAGGTAAGGTCGAGGAGGAAGGGTCGGTCGACGATATTGAACGACATTAGGTAGCGGATACCCGAGTTGCAATTTTGGCCCTATATTAAACCTCGAATTCTACGACACAGTAGAGGAGTTAAGAGAGCAAAATAGATTCAACTCTAATGTGTTCTTTGTTTCACGCATTCCAGAGTATCTTTACAATCTCCTTCACCGGAACGCTGAATATCATGATGGTGAATTATATGACGCTCGCCTCCGAGGTTTATCGTCAATTCCTCGTCATAGAACAAACAAGTATCGTTCTGCTTTTGTGCAATTTTTCTCTATTGTGTAATTAAATATTACAATTCTCTCCCTCGTGAGATTTGGTTAACCGATCTTTTTTTTCAATATTAGGCGACTGATTATCTGTATTGTAATTCGTTTAACACATTTTTGCGTCGTTCCTGATCAAATTCAACTTTATATATTTTGTGTTGTTACACTTATTAATTATTATTCATTTATATATATTTAGACAAGGCAGTAAAACCAGTTATATATCTGATGCCTTTCCGGTCGATCTCAACATAGCGTTTTTAAGACTTTTAACTTTTAGACTCCGTGTCATTAACCAGTAAAAGAAATATTATTATTATTATTATTATTATTATTATTATTATTATTATATGATTTGCTTCTATTTTGACTTTGATATCTTAAATTTCTGTTTTCGCAGCTTTTAATTGTTTTACAGTGGCATTAAAATTAAATTTGTAGCATCAAATGTTCTGGAGAGAAGTTAGAAAGTATAGTATCATCGAAGTAGGTTTTTCATTTATAGGCCATCTAAGTAGATGCAAACTATCCATAAAAGACTTGATACATTACAAAGAAATACAAATATAGCTTCAAAAATGACAATACAAAAAAGTTGATGCCTGATCTACGAGAGCCAAAACTGATGTTATTTAAACGTATAACAAAAGACTAAAATTCTATTCTTATAATTTACAAAATGTCCTCACTCTGTTCCAGGGAACTATCGCTAGATTTGCAAAGAAATTTCTTGTTGCGACCAAAACTGAGAAGCGTCTGCGATAGAGACCGAGACGTTTCGTAAATTATAATAATAAAATTTAAAACTCTCGTTACGCTCAGACAACAGCGGTGTTGATTCTCATCGACTCAGGTAACATTTTTATATTCCTACGAACATCGGAGTAGCACGAAAATGTCTACACGGTTATACGCGTGAGCGTCCTCAGAAATTTATTGGGCACACGTTTCTCGATCCGACATCTCTTCGTTCACCAGATAAAATCAAGGTCCCCGCCAACGTCAATTTGCGGAGGCGCGGCGACGAGTCGACGAACAACTACGCTGCCTACCGTCGTCGTCGCGGCCGCTCGTCGATGATTCCCCTCAGCGGCAAGTGCGCCCGTGTGCAAGTTACGGAACCCGGAGAAAATGGCTGGTGACGTGGACCGGCTTACCCGGCAAACTCAGCACTTTGCGACAAGCACCTATCCGTACCACTCTCAGCGATGTCCAATTAAGTGCGCTAAGATTACCGCGGGAGGCAACTCCTCGCGGCGCGAGCTACGGAGCGACGAGGACGAAGTAGCCTGCGCGGCAAATAATAAAAAGCGTCCTTTACCACGCGGATAGTAGATAAACTTTCCGCTTCTTTAACAGCGACAAAGACGCGCGCCCGAGAGCGAGAGAACTCGGACGTTAGAAAAGCGTCAGCGGAAAAAAGGGAAAAAAGAAAAGGGAGAAAAGAAACATACAAAAAAGAAAAGGAGAGGAAAAGAAGAAGAAGAAGAAGAGGAGGAGGAAGAGGAAGAGGAGGAGGTAGAAGAAGAAGAGGTGATGGCGCGACATCGTTATCGAAACTTGCGCTAAATCGAATTTCGACCGCTTCCTCGACTTCCCGTCGCCCGCACTCGAGAGTACTCAATAATCTCCTCGAGTTTGCCGAGCACGAATGACAGGGTCAGGATATCGAGTAGAGATACATGCGCAGGGTATAAGCTCGACGCTATTTTCGATGCGAGACAATTTTCGTGAATCCCCCGAATTGGAGAGACCAAGAGACTCGTGACACGGCGCATATCACCAGTTTCCTTCGTCCTTTGCGAGCTGCAGCAAGCGGTCGGTCGAGTAACTGTAATTAACTGATGCGAAGAGCTCGCGATTGTAATTTTCCGTGACGTTCGAGAAGCACGTATTATGGTTGATCACACCCAAATCGAATGATGAAACTTGACACTTCCAAAAGAGGAGAGCCGGCATCGGCATAGAGCGTGTCATGAGCAAGTTTTTTCTCAACCTCTCCAAGTCTAGATCGAAATTTTGGTTTTACGTTAGCATTTGTAGCTTCAAGGCTGCATTAAAATTAAATATGTGGAATTAAAAGTTTAAGATAAAAGTTAACGAGTATAATATTTCCGAATATATTTTTTATAACCTATAAGTCACCTAAATACACGTAAATAGTCCTTAAGAACGTCGAAGTAACATAAAAATTTCGACTCAGACCGGCACGTATATCGCAGGATACACGGTCGAAAGATTATTATTCACGAACGAAGAGGGAACATTTTTTCGGACCGGAGATTACGCGGGTGGATGAAATTTCGGTTCGTTAAAAATGACCCCGAACGACCTGCGGCACCACGTGAATCATAGTACCAGCATATTTCCGTTACGCTTCGCCATGCGGCAGAGGAATCGATTCGCCTGTTCAAGTTCTCCCGGAAAATCCTCCCTTCGTGGTTGAATATTATGCATTTCGTGCTGCTTGCGACGCTCGCGGGCTCGACCTCGTCGCAGTGCCTCGCCATAACAAAAGCGGCGGCCGAAGTGGTTGGGTAATACGCCGACGGACGTGACGATCCGAATCGCGGAAATAGGGAGTCGCGCGAAGCACAAGCAGCATCTACATGACTACGTCGCAGATCCGCGATATTCCTGACATTCGCGATTGGAAGTCGCAGAAAAGATTCGCGCTCGAATTCGCGCGAGCAAGTCTTGCAGCGAACGAAGCACCGACGGTGCATCGCCTAACTTTGCAGTATGATCGGCTCGGAAGATACCGCTTCAGTCTCTAACAGGTCCGATCTGTCAATTTCTGAGATTATCGGAGACAGACAAAGCCCGAAGCTTGATCTCGAAGCCCCAACTGTTCAACTCGTACGACCACCTGAGGATCCTGAACACTGATATGTTCTGGTACGTTTCAGTTTCCGTCACCTGGCGCTGTCGAATGACTAAACAGATTTCCAGGACGGACGTGATCCTACAGGAGACATCAGCGGAATCTAATTCCGCGCAGCTGACTAGCCAGGGTCGTGAACCCTTCGCGAGTTTCAGGGAGCGATATTCACAGACGGATCTTACATTTAAGGCTCGCGGTTCTTCGCTGCAGTCGTCTTGTCTGACGACGTCGGTAGCGAGGAAACGCATGTTCGAAATTCTCGTAAAATATGTCGAGTCAAAGAATACATCCACAAAATGACACGTGATCGATTGAGAAATATGTAAAATATTCCCAAGACTTTCCCCCTTTTGCTCTAACAATCAATAAATAAATTCGACATGATATGCCACCTTCCTTCTAGCTTACCTCTGCTCACGATTTTATCGAGTTCATTTTACGGCTATTGTTTGACTGCAGAATAAAAGGAAAGTTTTCGGAATGTTTGGCAAATATGTTCGGGTAGTCACAAATATCATTTTATGAGCTGAGAGAAAATATACCGCATTCAAGTAGCGTTCGCTAAGGCGTATTGAATTGTTTTACTCGGATTAGGTAAATATTACTTGAATGTAACTCTTTTTTCTTTCAGTGCGTACGTATCTTTTTATTTTAACGTATTTCGCAAGAATCTTGGACACACATATTTTTTGCTTTTGACGTTAAGTTATTCAAAACAGCTACGGCAAGGAAACATCCTTACAGAAAAGTATTACTCGCTGTGATAAATTGAGCAATGATAAAGGGTAGTTCTATCGCTCGTACGAATAATAAAATTTGTAAGGAACAATAATTTATCATCGGCCAAATTATCACAGACAGTAATATTTTTTGGTAAGGGCAGGAACCACCTTCAGATGCTGTACGGATCGTTTCACCGCCTACGGAGCATCCAGCGATGAACTAAAGGCGATCTTAAATATAAAATCGGACTATGAATGCCGGCTTTAATTGCCGGTGTTAGCTGCGGAAATGCGCTCGAAATGTTTCACGCCCAGAAGGGTAGCAGATCCGCGGATCAATCGAGAACGCGATCTCGCCCCGGTAAGACGGCTTGTCATTCGCGTGCTGGCGGAGTCGATATCATTGAATCTCATCGAATCATCCCAGGACCAAGAGCCGCGGTATTGGGACTTCGCCCGGGCTTCCCCCGCATCCCTCTATATCCCCACGTTGCGTCCTACACAAGCGGATATTCACAAAGCGGTTTAAGCCCCCCACCCCGGCGTTCGCAAGAGAGAGAAAGGGAGAGCGAGATAGAGAGATAGAGAGGAAGTTTCCAACATCGTCGTGCAAACGTGCCGGTGTGGATCGACGTTC